AATTATCTGGAAAATTGCAAGGGAATTACGAAGAAGATTCCATAGGAATTATTAGGAGAGTATCATAGAACATCTGGGAGCATTCTAGGGAATTTTGAGGAGTTTGCTACTGAAGAGAATTCCTAGCACATTTTCATGAATCGCTGAGGGTTCTCCTTAGATATTTTGTGGAGGATTCCTTGCAAGTTTTGGGAAAAATTCCTAGTGCATTAGAAATTTGAAGAGAACTCCCGTGCGTGTTCTGAAGGGTGTACTAAGGGGCTGTTCATAAACTACGTACACCGATAGGGGGGCGTAGACAATCGCCCATACAATTTATTGGAAATTTGTATGAACCGTAGACATTTGTCTACCCCCCTCCCCTTAAGAGTCTACGTAGTTTATGAACAGTCCCTAAGGGAATTCTGAGAAAAATTCCACGGCAATATTAAAGTGTATTATGCGACTTCTTGTGAGAATGATTAAGAATTGTAAAAGAATTTCGAACCCTCATTTTCATGGTTTGCCTCACTTTGACGCTGATGATCGTATATATTTTTAATGCATAACATTTTGTATTGACATATTCATTTTAAATATATTCCAGAAATAGCTCATATGAAATAATGCATATTTTCTATTGCCGTGTGAAGCTGATTGAGTTCATTAAGCTACATGTGTATTAATAATGTTCATGTTGTACTTACAATGTTTAGTAAGAGCTGATTTGTGATTCTGAAGATAATCAATGAACTCCACACAGCAAAAAATAATAATTTTGATATCACATCAAAGTGGATGCACTTCAATTGTGTCAAAAATATGGTGTAATATTACTTTCCAGAAAGGACACAATTATCATTCATACAGAGTATGAACTGACATTACGCTGCTTTGACTGCATTTTTTATTTTTGTGGCCATAAAAATTACAGAGATTTCGACATGATTGAAGTGCCCCCTTTTCTATGTAATAATAAAAAAAAATTTGCTGTGCAGGTGCTAATAATATTCATCGAAAAGGGGGCGATGCCTTGCCATATATATTCCAATATAACTTACCTGTCGAAAACAGGTAGAACCAAACAGGGTTTTAAAAGAATGGTAAATTTAACTTATATCTGTAGCAATGTGAGATAATGCCGCTAGGGTTATGCGTTTCATATAAGGTTTATACTACGTTTAGACTGTAGCTGATATCATGCAATTTAGGTTGTATTGAAATGAGCATATGTCAAATTTTAACTGTATTACTTTTGATATAGCAATAGCCTGAAAGTAATATTAAGCGAAATTTAACAAATCTTGAAATTCTCAATTATTCGTATATAAAATCCTGATTTACCTGCTTGTATATGAAAAAATTATTAGAAATCAGTGAATTAAACGTGCAACAGATATTTCTGATAATTGCGAAAAAAAATCAATATGAATATATGCAAAACAATTGTTCAACATTGGATTTTTTTTATTTTAAACAACATTCAAACGATAACGCTCATTTTTCATTCATTTTAATTTTACGGCAGGCGTTATTTATTTTTCTCAATATTTTTTTTTCAACTCGAGGTGTTACTTGTTTACAAAAATCAAAGAAAGTAAATGAAAAATATGGTGCTGTTGAAAATTCTATACTCATTTTACAAAAAAAAAAAAAAATCTGTTACATTACTGCTACGATCTTCGATGAAATTTGACAGTCTCGAAGAGTCGTAAGCACCCGCAGTGGTGCATATGGCAGACATATTTACAAGACCATACATTTTTTTAATAGACAGTAATAGAAGCTTTTCACTGGAATGCTTATCGATTGGTGAAATGGCATTCAAATTCAAAATGTATCGCATGTAATGTATGGTAATATTTTTTTTCGGAATATAATAACGCGTTTGTAAATAAATTTGCAATACAGCAAACATTTTCAATAAATATTCCATAAAAAAAAGAACTACCGACTAAGGGTGCACCTTCCAGGCTGGGTGGACCAAAAAATCGACATTTTTACCTATATATCCAACTCTAAAAATTCATTAATTTTTACCTACTGAACCTATTATCAATCATTTTTCAACAAATGAAAGGTATTTAAAATCGCTATCCAGAAAAAGATATGAAACTGAAGGCTAAATGTGTTTTAATATACTGAAACATAAAAAATGTAATGGATTTCACAGTGCCAATACCAAAGAGACCCTAGTTTTTTATATATTTTTTTACAGCTCATACTTTTTTACTTAACATATAAAAACATTAAGGAATGCGTTTTTTAGGTTTTTAGGATTTTTTTTGTATTTGTGTTTTGTTTATGCCTCCGAACTCCATCCAAAAACAAACAACCTCTAGAAAAAGCATAGTCGGATCAATCAAGTTACTGGTTTGACAGAAATTTAAACAAAAATATTGAATTTTTAGTATGATGGAGATTTAATATGAAGTAACACCAACTCTCTTTGGTCTTAATCTATCATGCACTATCCGGTACTACGCATGCTTATCGGCACTTGAGAGGAGTTTGTGAATGTTTATACAAGTTTCAACAGTGTTTTTGGGTCAAATTTTTGAGAAGGTACACTTTTTGCAATACTTATTGGTTAACTTTTCCGCATAGTTTTGAGAAGCGCTTGATGATATTAGCTGTGGTTTTCATATGATTGAGAATACTGCAGTCCCATTAGGAAGATGTGGATAAGCATTCAAACGATTCTTTAATCTACTTCATCTGGTTCAACAAATTCTAATGTGTCCAAAGTAGCCCCCGGTAAATATTCATAAAAGAAAGTTGACTGACCTGAAAAAGATCTACTTTTTTCATAACAATAAGATGACAGCTTTTGCATATTAAAATCAAAACTCATTATACTCGTGTAAAACAAATTACCTGAACCTAATCGTATCATAGTTTTAAGCCAGAAAATGAAAATTATATTATTGTTAAAAGATCCTTGTCTTCGAAAGAAGAAACGCGTGTTACAGTTGCGTAGAATAAAGCAAAATAAAATATATCTCAAAAATGAAAAATAAAAATCACCATCCTTGGTGTTTTATATGTTTAGTAAAAAAAGTATAAAAAACTACGGTCTGTTTGCTCTTGGCGCTGTGAAATCCATAAAAAAAACTCTTTTAATGTTTTAGTTTTTTAAAACTCATTTGACCTTCCGTTTCATATTTTTTTCCTCTTGAATACTTGTTGAAAATATATCGAACTTCGGTCCAGTAGTGTGCTATGAGTTTTCGAAGTTCTGTATATAGGCAAAAATGTGAATGTTTTTAGTCCATCTAATTCAGGAAGATGCACCCTAAGGGCGAAATAAAAAAAATGCTGGTCGAAAATGTTTCGATAAAGAATATATATACATGGTATGAGCAAATATTAGACCAATTTTTTTTTTCAGTTGATCTTTTTTCAGGGAATTATGTATATGTAATATGTATATATGTATTTTTATTTTGCAGATCTCTTGTCACTCATCTATTACACCTTTATAGAGTTATACAATTTGATTTTAAATATCACCAACAAAATTGTACAAACATTTATGCACCTTGAAACAACATTTCAGTTGATCCAGTTATTTACAAATGGTGAGAGTCAGCTAAAGCATTAAATCTTTACTCGAACTATTTATTGACTGTGCGAAATAAAGCAATGCGTCTTATTTTATGGCGACTACTGGTAATGATGCATAATGTAAAATAAAGTAAATATAGTAGATACAACGGTACATGCAGTATTGGAATTGATTGTTTTTGTTAAGAAAGGATCCTACTTTTTAAGTAATAAAATTTATGTATAGTTTTCATTAAATGCAAAAACCCTGCTTTTATCACAATGAATTAAAATAATAACAAATTTTAATACAGAATTGTCTTCATTCATGCTTGCCACGTTCGAATATGTATGTACACGTTGACATTGTTTAAATTCTATACAATTTTCGAAACAAATGCATTACAATGGAAATGGTGAATTTATTAACCTAATTTAGTAAACCGGACTTTAATTTGTTACCGTGTAGAGTCCCTTTTCCTATCCCATCTTACAATTTCAAGAGCATAACTCTCAAGATTCACTAGATTTAAAATCTGTGAGATTATTACATTGCATGTGAAACTGTGAATTGTAACAAGAAAAAGGACTTTAAAAAGGTTCACCTTTTATGAAGAATTATGCGAAATTTTAGTTAAAAAACGCTTATTGATATCACCGATCTGTGGACAATTTTATATGATTCTCATCAATGTTTGTAACAAAATTATGAAACCGCATTCAAAGATGGTACGATTCATCAGTTTGTAATTATACAGGGTAGACGTCCCTAATGTTGGCTAAAGTGTCTCTTATATTGGCATTTTTGGCATAAATTTGAAATATAACAATTATGGATATATTTCATTAGCCACCAAAAATGCTAATTTCTGTCATCCAGATGACGCATTTGCCTGAGAAAAGATGAAAACAAATGATGATTACCGATGGGCTCAATTTCTACATTCAATGAAACCAACATTAGATCTCTCTCCCCTATGTTATTCCATCGATTAATACCACCATTGACTTTTTTATGTAAGATATCTAGTTTTGTGCTAAAGATATCAGGATAGCTAGATTCAAAGGCACAACGCATTAAAAGGAACTTGCATGCTCTCTAGAAACCGTTATTCAAGTGTATTACAACGGTCCATTTCATATTGATTAGTTTTGTTTTAGAAACTAGTCAAATACGAAACTATTCATATTCATACTAATGACATTGGACAAAACTAACAGAGAAATAACGTCATAAATTATGTTAAGCAGCATAACAAAAAAAAGTGTTCGATGAAATTACATACAAGTATATTAGGTTAAAAGCTGTTTTTAAAATTCATCAACAAAATCGAGCAAACGTGTAATGATTAGATCACATTCTATTACTTGCTCCTTAAAGTATTCAAACTTGCATTTCTCGAATCACATGTTGAACAAACAAATAAAAGAAGACAGTACTATTAAGCAACAGGCGTTCAAGCTTGAAATATTACCTTAAAAATAAGATTGCTTTTTGAAAAGCCCGCCTGTTCTTTTTGAAAAGATCTTCCTCTTCGAGCTGAATGTTTTTTTTGGAGATTTTGTAGGATCTAAAGGGTTATAAAATAGTTAAGGAAAAAGTAGGTATTATTAAAGCAACATCAAAATTAAAAATTAATAAAATAATGAAACATTGTCAACAAAAGCGATTGTTTGAATCGTGTATTATATGACGCTATTCATAAAACTCATATGATATTTTCAGCAAAAAAATCATAGATTTATACGTTGCCGAGCAACGACCACTCATATTGTAGGAAAAGAGGCTATTATAATAATTAATTTTGCACCGATTTTCCTTTCAGTATATTGTACAACGTGTGCGAGTTCGTACTTTTTACATGGTATATTAATGATTAGCATCATGCTTCGTTATTAGTTCTTATAAATAGCGATAGTGAGTATATAATTGTTTTTATGTCAGTTCACTACAAACGAATGGCAAACGGAAGATCGGAACACAACAGAAAAAGAAATAATGTATCTTCGAAAATATGAACATTTATGAAAACATGTAAGCGTTTTGAGGTTAGATGGATTTTGAATACTTCAAATATTAGTTTCTGCTCTACACAAATAAAATCTGGATAGAAAAATAATAAAAGGACACAGCTGACTAAATTGTATGATAGTGAAATGAGATGTACAGAGACGTCCATAAAGTATGATGCATTTTATATACGCACATATGTCTCGTTTGGGAAATGCCTTTAGTTTTGTTTGTTAAAGAAATTTTTACTATGAGCATTGGTATTAAGAAGGATTCGGTCTTCAAAAAATCACAGTATAGTATAAAACAGCAATTGAAAATTTGCCAATTTCCCATAAACTTGATTCATAAAAATATATTAGAATAGGATTTCGTCAAATAGGACGCATTTGTTTTTCAATTAGTTCCATATAGATACATATATCTACAACAACATGTGAAAAGGGCATACATATTTTTTGTAAACTAACCTTCTTATGCCCGTTCCTCGCCACCTATATGACCAAGTATATGACCCCATGGCAAACCATCAACATCACCGAAACTTTCCATTTCCCGACGATGTTGTTGGTTTGCGTGGGCGACCCTCGGTTGGCGAGAAACGGGCCTACAAAGGTATGTTTACAAAAAGCTTGTATGCCCTTTTCACATGTGGCTCTTCATAGTATGTCACGCTCTAAGGGGCCACGGGGGTGTACGATTTTGTGTCAAGCAATGCATTGTGTATAGGAACCCGGATAATAATAAGCATAAAATTATAATAAAATGCAACATATTCTATTGTTGACAATTAATCTTATTGTAATTCTATTGTATTGGTCAAATAATCAAATAATCACCACAATAGGTTTACAACAAATTCTATGAAATCAAAATTTTGCACAGTAAAAAACCAATGATATTGATTGTAATGAGATCAAATTTGTTCGAGAAAAAATTGATTTTTTTATGGTTACGGTAACTTACAACCCCTCTTTTCTATTGTAAATGTTTCATTAACAGTAGATTATATTCTTCATAACAATAAGTTCTGTTGTATTTTTATTGTTTTTGATAATAACATTTATTGTTGCTACACAAGCTTTTATTGCTTTGTAACAATAGGTTCTATTGTTTTTGTATGGTAAATTTTTATCCGGAAAAACTTGTCGAAAGAGAGGAGGGGGGAAGGGTTAATTTTTCTTCAATTTAGTGTGACATAATTGATGCATGACTCTTTAATACAGCTGTTTAAACGCTCAAAAATGTTTAGAAACTCGAACAGTGGCGTGTGACACCCAGGGTGGTATATCCCGATGTCTACCCTTATCAATCAGAACATTTTTGCAGCAACACAATTTATAGAAGGCTATTGGATAATGGATAAAAACAAATCTGGTGAGTTGGTGGGGGGATTAGGGGGCATGGGTGATAATAAATCGTGTGTTAGATTGCTTAAATCAGCGTAGATTGAAGAAAAAAATCACATGTTCGCACTTAACGTAAAACTCATCGACAGTCTTTCCAAACTTCAAAATATTAGAGGTTTATTTTATTGCATCGAAAGGAACTGATGTTTAAACAATTGTTCAATGCCAGCTAGTGAGTGGTTTCCCAAAAATTTCTTGAGAAAGTTATGAAGAAAAAGTTTTTGGAAATTTCGAGAGGAAGTGACTAACAGACAGACCGAGGCTTCTCCGGACAGTTTTTATCACGGTTCACTTAAATGTGTGATTTTTTTCATAAATCCAATGTTTATTCGACTGATAAATGTTTAAGAACCGTTTCGGGACGGCGGTGGTGTAGTTTTAAGTGTGATTGCCTGTCACCCCAGAAAGCCTGGGTTCAATCCCAGTCGGCACTGCCGGGATGCTCTGAGGCATTACATCTCCGATCACGCATCAGGGAAGTGAAGCTGTTGTGTGCGGTTCACCACGGTTTTGAGGCATAGTTCGTGTAAATAATTCTTATTTCATCAACAAGTTAGATCTTGAACATTTATGAATTGAATGAACGTCGATTCACGAATAAAATATTAATTTCAGTTAATCGTAACGAAATGTATTGCGCGAAGCCCTCGGTTCACTAACCAAGCCTGGTCACAAGAAACTCGCAGGAGAAGATGAAACAATATTTCCGTCGAAGCTATATAAAACATCCAGGAAAGAAGGATAAGGAGAAACATTCGAGAAATCAGAAGAAACTTTGCTATTTTCATTAAATATGTACACAACAAAAAATATGTCAACTGCGCAATCGCAAAATCCTAGAATGCACGAAAATATGAAGAACTACGCAACCAGCTGAAATCCCGCAAATTAATTTATCAGACAGAATGCCAATTTTTTCAATTCCAGGCTATTAACCTTTGCGTGCCTAACGTCTAAATTTGCATAGATTTCAAAATTCAATTAGCTCTAAAAACATAATTTCTACATCTTTTTCAAACTTCAAGATCTTACGTAGCTCTGTCAGTTTTGGCTTTATTGAGAGTCCACGATCACATTGGGGCTCTTGCGCATATTTCAGTGCCCCGACGAAGTAGCAATTCCCGATTAGAACGTTAAGTTTTGAAGTCTGATGTATGAAGGGTTTTGGTTCATTTCGAGAATTAATAATTTCCTTGAGGAGGCACTGGTACATTGCCGGGGGCACTGGGATGGCGAATATGACCGTGAACTCTCAATTAGGCCATTACTAGCCGCGTTCTGAAAAATCATGAAATGTAATATGTCACGTGACGGGTTTTGGTTCTTGTCGAGAATTGGCCACTTTCCGGGGAAACCGTAATCTTTCTGAGGGTACCAGAACATGCCCGGGAACTGTGACCATGAACTGTCAATAAGGCCATTACTGGCTAAGATTTGTAAAATCATGAAGTTTGATATTGGTGTTGGTTCTTGTTGAGAATTGGCCACTTTCCCGTGGGCACCAGGAGATAACCGGGAGAGCTAGTGTGACCGTGGACTCCTAATAAGGCCATTATCGGCACAATAGGTTTTGGTTCTTGTTGAGAATTGGCCACTTCCCCGGGGGCACCGGAACATTTCCGGGATGCCCAGTATGACCGTGGACCATGTGTATAGCTGCCATTGGTCCAATTACATCATTTGAGAGAAAAAACATGATGTTCATCGTTTGTATACTTATTACATAACAGTAAAGCCCAATGCCGACCAAAAGTGATCCCAACGGGAACCGGAATAACTCAGGAACCATGTATTGATCCAAATGTTTTCAGATGGATTCAAAAATTTCAATAGATTCCCGACAAAATGCAACATGTTTTGAAGAAAAAGATTGAGAAATTATGTTTATAGAGCTAATTGAATTTTGAAATCGTTGCAAATTTAGACGTTAGGCACACAAAGGTTAAAAATACACCGGACGTGGTTGAAGTACAACCTCATTGATGAGATTATAATTTTTAATTTTTGCTGTGTAGTTAAAGTTGAAGTTTATAAGATATTTAAAATTTTTACCACATTATCTTCTCAGGTGTCACTTATCTAAGGGTTACATCCAGGGAGGACTGCACCATCTCCTCTCCACAGCCACCAGGCAACACCTCTGCGCTCAAAAACGTTTTAGATTTGATTGGTAAAATTTTATTTTGAGTACGTCGTGTCTTAAGGAAAGATTTACAGAAGTCAAAGTGCTGTCTTTTGGGATTTTCTGATTTTTTATTAACTCGCATGTACACGTAATATGAAAAACCAACTTCTACCACAATAATATGCATCGGTGTCTTCAGCAACGTCGTAGTTTGCTGAAAACACTAACCTTCCATATGCACGTCACAGTCAGTATTTCAGACATGATATATTTTGATCAGAACTCTCTAAAGAATCTTTTAGTACAATTTAAGGTTATTTGGTATAATAGCTAAAAAGTTACAGATGTTTATGTGTCTGCCATTTTTATCGAATACACCCTTCACTAGCGGTGATAAATCTTGGAAAATTAATAATTTTTATTTGTTGTTACCTTAGCGAAAAAAAATCATATGGATTATTTTCAGCGTAGCAGTCTACTTGGGTGCAAAATGCGCAATAATATATGTTTTTTAATATATTTACACATTATTCAGTGTCAAATGCAGGGTGCCTTCCATTCATTTTGGTGAAAAACATGTTTTATGAAATTATGGAATAATAAGATATTATGATATTATTTTGTATGTGTAAGTAACAAGAAAATATTGTCAAGTTTATGTTTGACACACAACACATGCAAATTTAGCTTTAACAGAGTCACAATGAGCGATTTTCTGATCGCCTCTTCGCGAAGAGTGAAGAGCGAAGAGTGGGTGAGATAAATGACAAAATCGCTTATTGCGACGCTAATGTAGCAAAATTGGCAGGTATTATGCGTCAGACCCAAACTTCACAATATTTTCTTGTTGCTTACACAAACAAAATATTATCATATAATCTTATTATTCCATAATTCCATAAAACATTTTGACGTAGGACTACGTCTTTGATTTCTATATGGGGGTACACTTTGTGAAAACCGAAAATGGAACATGTAACAAATTATGAAAGAATTTGAACGTTAATAATGGTCCAATTTCAATAA